TACCTTGGTCTTCCTTTGGCCTCCAACATATTTTTTTGGAAAAGGGTGTTGATCAATTTTCATCGGTTTCGGGCCTTGGAAGTATCAAACTTAATTCTCCCAGATTCAATAGCCGATTATAATCTATTGCTGAACACCTTGCACTCATTTGTACTTGTGTGAAGTTGCATTGTGCCATTTGCGTTACAAGATCTTCTTCAACTCTTACGTCGATGGGATCACATGATTAGGTGATGACTTAATTTGGCCCTCTTGAAGCGAGAAGATCAAATATCTTGTCGGCCTTGGTGATATCAAAGGTAAACTTTTACGGCTCTTTTCGACCAAAGGGACAAGATATCGGTTTTTTATTCTTAACCCACTCAGCTAAGCCGATAACTGGTTCTTCATCAGAATCAAAATCTCCTACTTCAACAAATGATACTTTTTTACTCCAATTCTTTTTAGGTTCAAAAACCCTAGTATCTTGATCAGAGATCCTTTGCACAAGATGACTGAGGCTTTCAAACTCCTGAGAAGCATATCTGTCTTTAAGATGTGGCAATAACCCTTGGAAAGCCAGATCGGCAAGCTGCCGATCATCTAGCACCAGGCTGTAGCACTTATTTTTTACATCTCGTAGCCTTTGCACAAAGCTTTCTACCGATTCATCATTACGCTGTCTCAATTTTACTAAATCGGTAGGCTTCTTTTCATGGATTCCAGCAAAGAAATACTTATGAAATTATTTTTCTAGATCAGCCCAAGTAATAATAGAATTTGGTGGTAATGAAATGAACCATGTAAATGCCGATCCAGACAAAGATGATGAAAATAATCGAACTCTTAATTCATCTCTGCTAGCTGCCTCTCCACATTGAATAATGAAGCGATTGACGTGTTCCATTGTTGATGTATCATCTTGCCCAGAGAATTTAGTGAAATCTGGTACCTTGTACCGATTTGGGAGAGGAATTAAATCATATGCAGGAGGGTATGGAGTCCGATAAGAATAAGTATTGACCTTGGGCTTTATCCCAAAGCGATCCTTCATAATTTCGCTATCTTATCATTTAAAAGCATCGACCTCCTGGCGATTTAACCGGCTGAATTTCTACAGAGGTACTGGCCGATATCCTTCCACATATCTTTGTGGCCCACGATCTCCAAGCAATCGGCATATTTGCCGTTACTTGTGGTCCATTAACTCTTTGGAAAGGATTCATCTACCGAAAGTTGTCGATGCTTGATTTCGAAACCACTTGCATATGACCTTATTGAATCCTCGCAACTCGCTGATTTTCTTTGAATCGTATGTTGAGCAGTAACGCATCGTCGACCAACCATTATTGGAACTCATCGGTACAAAACTTACCGATGGCTAGTAATTTGTCGACATTGTTGGATAATTATAACCGACTTGAGGCATGAATCGAACCCCAGTTTGACTCATAGCGGGTTTTTCTTTGCATCGGCGAGAAGCTTGCCGATGGACTTGAATTGGGTGTTTGAACCAAAGGCATCTAGAAACCTCCGGAGTTGGTTGCACGATGAGTTCTTGTGGCATATTGAGAGCACTTGAGCCATCGGCGTAAACAAACCGATGGTATAGGAGCTTTTCCCATCGCATCAAACACTTGAGGTAACCCGAGATTGAAAGCAGATGACTCGGAGGCATACCATATCCCCACCAATTAGCAGGAATCTGGCTATTTCGAGACACATGTAGGGCTGACATAGCCGATGCCGATATATCTCGTATTAAGTTGAACTCGTCCTCCCGGTAGTACCGGATCGATCGTATCGGTGTAGATTGAATATTAGGCAAAGCTCGCCGACATCTTTGGAGGAGAAGTAACCTGTACACAACGGCCGAGGGAGCCGATGGAGTATTGATGATGCCGGCTCTAGTTGGTGATAGGCGTGCCCAACGTAATGCGGTGACGCTTGTCCTTCTTTGAGAGTTCGAACCACAAAGATTATGAAGCAGATTGGACAAACACATTAGAATGATTAATCAAAGCATGATTTACTACTGTAATTAACCATCTCTTGAAGTTTACCAGATTGAGTCAAAGGTAACTCGCCGAGGCAACGGCAAATCTTGCTTCGGATGACTTGCCCACTCTTGCTCAAAGCTAAACGATCTCGAGATAAAGTCGCCTATATTCTTCTATAGCCTTTTCCATAGCCTACCGCTGCTCTTCCTTAAGATCTTCTTCCGATACCGCGATAATGTCCCCTGAATCGATCTCGGATTGATCATATTGATCGGATTGATGTGTCCCACCTAAGGCGTGCCAAAAAGATGTGTTGATGCAAAAGTGAATCTGCAAACACAAAGGGCTAATACCGAATCGATATCTAAAGCGTGCGGTCGATTTGACCTATTAATCGACAAGGATGAAGATATCTGAGCACTTTGGTCCCGACAACAGCGATACGCCCGGAAGTCACGCCCAAGAGGTACTCACGCTGAACTCGAGAATCGCCAAGGTTGCACTGAAACGATGCAACTCGCCGAATCAATGAGAACTCGTAAAAAGGAAAAATATGCAAATTGACGAAGTCGCCGAAAAGTAAGTAGATGCAAATAGGAGTAAAAATTGGTTTTTGATATTGATTTTTTTTATTACATTGCCCCTCAATCTATATTTATACCCTGATCTAAAGAGACAAAACCAAATACGACTAGGACACCAAGTCCATATCTAAGGAAACACGTGACTCTTACATGAATCATACTCTAACCAATATAGAAAAGGAAATCAACTCCTATCTATTTCCCTGTCCGCCTCGATTACGATGGAATTCTCACCGACCTCATTTCCATCGGCATACTTCCTGTTTCATCGGCAGTAGTTTTCAAGCCTTCCTTCATCGGCATCGACACTAATATCTCCAACCTTATCGGCAACACCCGAGTCTAAATCAACATTTCCATCGATCACCACTATTCATCGGCAACCATCTTTACAAGCTGATTTTCACGGCTGTCAGCGTATACAGTAACTCTCCTCCTGCTGATTAGCCCACTCTGATCATTTTGACACGTGCAAAAAACGGTGTCAACGCTTGTGCATTTATAGTTAATTTTAGTAATAAGGTAATTGGAGATGTTTATGCATTTATCAGTATTTTTAGTAATACTCCGTATATGATAATAAAATATCTATAATGACTGCGAGAATCTCATAATCTATCGTCCTAGTCTGTCAAAGAGTCAAAGATGCTTATAAAAATAGGATGTGCTTGCATGCATTTATAGGTACGTGTGGATGCAGACTTGAGCAGAGTAGGTTTGCCTTGGCGTGGCCATCCTATTGACATGGTTAGACAAAAAACATTGAACCTAAAAAGGTTTTATTATCGACCGAAAGCGACATCTGGGATGTTACTGGCATAAATTTTAGACCTGATTTTTTGCTGACCCAACTCGAATACGTGTCTGTTTGTGTATAAAAAAGAACACTACGGTGCAAATGGATCTCGTTGCATGATTGTTAACAAAAAAGGGGATCATTCTCCAGCTGACACGTCAGCATGGAAGCACAGCCATTTTGTCAGCCTGGCCTCTGACCGGCCCACGAGTCAGCATGCTAGGCCGCTAGGGGCCCGGACAGGGGCAGGGCCAAAAATTGGCTCGGCCAGTCGGCCTGCTGGAGCACGATCCAAATCGGCTTCTGTGAGGCCGAGGCGTGCGTGTTTTTTTCCTATTTTTTATAATTTGGCCCTTTTCTTCGAACAAAATTTACGTTTGTCCCTCTAGGAGACTTAAACTCATCTTTGACCTTAGGAGTCGGCGTTACAACTCATGGCGCCGAGGTGAAACGTCTCGGCGCCACAGATCTTCGCTCCGAGGTGCCTGGCCGTGCACATCAGAGCATCCTAGGTGGCGTTCACGTGACCAGTACCTCACCGCCAGAATACATGGCGTCGAGCTCAGCGCCACAGATCTTGGCGCTGACCTCGGAGCCATGTATTCTGGCGTCGAGCATAGATTCAAAGCGTGTGGTCGCAGTTCTCTCTCGCGCTCTATCTCTGCCACCGCCGCTGCCAGCCATTTTCGCCGTCGCCGACGCCTCCTCCGCCGGCTGCTGCCCGCTCCACCGCAGCAGGCCACCGCCCGCCGTCCCCCGCGCGCCGGTCGCCTCCCTTGCTCCCCCATTCCACTCCGTCATTCGCCCTCGTCGCCCCAGAGCTTCCTCCGCGCGCACCAGCGCGCGAGGGCGGCCCCTGCTTCTCCCCGGCGTCCCTGTCGACCAGCGGGCTGCCGGCGCCTGAGTCTGGCGGCGCCCCCGCGCAACCCCCCCACCGACCGGACCGGCTCCCTCAGCTCCCAGTGACGCCACCGGCTCCCACCGGCTCCCTCGGCTCTCAGGGTTTTTTTTCTTTAGTTTTTTTAATTGAGTTAGTTTAGATAATGTAGTTATTTATTTTATATAGTTTTGTAGTTTGGTAAAGCTTTTTTAGTTATTTAGTGATTTAGTGATGTAATTTAGTTAGCTAATTTAGGTAGATATTTATTTAGCTAATTTAGATAGATAGTTAGATAGTTAGGTAATTTAGTTATATAGGTAGTACTTGAAGTAGATGTAGTTAGATAGATAGGTGGTTTAGATTAGATACTTATTTATTTAGATGGAGAGTTGAAAATTTTTATATGTATGTAATTTAGTTATACCTATATTAGTTAAATCCGTAATAACTTTGGTGTTGTGCATATCAACTAGATGAATAACTTTGTTATATGCCACACTACTGAGACAAACTAATCTTTTTAACGGGCCACATCCATGCGTTTGTTTTTTTTGTTTAATCATCTAAGTTATGTTAAGATTTGTAGAAGGAAATATATATCATGTTCTCACGTATTATTTTATGTGCTCGTTGTTTGCTTCGATTACCTCTGTCTCCTTCTGTTTTTTCTTTTCTTTTGCCTTCGCTGCGGGTGGTCAGACGAAGACTCGTCTTCCTCCGGTTCCGGTTTCCGGCCGAACGGTCGGATCTCCTCCCCAACAATGGCCGCCTCCCACCTACCCAAGCTCCTCCTCCTCCTCCTCCTCCTCCTCGTCCTCGCCGCCGTCGCGCCGAGGCCCTCCAGCGCGCGCCACATCATCACCTTCGCCCCTTCCCGCACGGTCAACCCCGCGTCCCTGGCATGGGACCCCACGGCGCAGCACTTCGTCGTCGCCGGCGGCGGCGATGCCGTCCTTTCCGTCTCCGACGCTGGGGTAACCGAGTCGATCGTCTCCTCTGGCGCCTCCTCCGTCGCCGTCGACGACCGCCGACGCCGCCTCCTCGTCGCTTCCACGGGGTCCGTCTCCACCTTCGATCTCCGCTCCCCGCGCCCGCACCGCCTCATCCTCTCCACGCCGGTCCCGGACCCCGCCCCTCCGGGCGGCATCGCTGTGGACCCGCACACCGGGAACGCCTTCGAATCTACAAGCTATCCGTAGAGGGCGACCTCGCCACGCTCGCCTCCGCGCCGGCGCTCGGCTCCGATCCCCTAGCCTCGCTCACCGCACACGTGAGCCGAGGCTTCCTGCTCGTGGGCCAGCCCAGCACGGGCCGCATCCTCCGCGTCGACATGGAGGACGGTGCCACGAGGACCGTGTCCTGCGCCCTCACGCCCCCCACGCCGATCGTCGTGGCGGTCCGGACCGATGGGGCGGTGGCGGTGGGCGGGGCCGCGGGGCTGCGCCTCGTCGTGAGCAACGACGGGTGGGCGTCGTGCGGGGTGCGCGACGAGGCTGCGCCCGCGCCCGACGGCCCCGTGGCCGCGGTGGCGGTGCGGGAGCGGCGACGGGTGTACACGCTGGTGGAGGCGGAGGCGACGGACGGGGGCAACAAGTGGCGGATCGAGGAGGCCTCGTGGAAATCGGAGTCGGAGGGGGAGATGGTGGTGGTGCTCGTCTTCGTGGGCGTCGCCCTCGCCATCTTCATGTTCTGGAGGTTCCAGATGCGCCAGCTCGCCGGCAACATGAACAAGAAGATCAGATAGTACCAATGCAATAATGTCTCCTTCCTTTGTTTTTGAAGAATCTGTAGTCAAGTGCTTTTTGTCATGCCGTAGTTGGTGTAGCTAGATACTTGTGGATTAGACACGTTACTTATGTCTATATGAATTGTGAGTCTGTGATCTTACTTGGATAGTTCTTGATAAGTTATTAAGGCAAAAACCAGGAGAATCAATGTTCCTAGTTAGCTACTGTACTTACTAATTTACACATTGTAATAGAAAAAGGTTAAATTGGCTATTATAGGATTCCAAGCGTTAGGTTTCTCTATTATATGATTCCTAACGTTTGTTTCTCCAAAATAGGACTCCAAACAATTATAATAAGCTTTAATGACATTTCGGGTCATTTTAATCTCTTTTAACATCTAAATACATGTATTTGTTCCTAACGTGATCGTTTTACCCTTCAGTGTTTTGACAGTGATTGTTGTGTCGTTTTGGAAAAAAAAAGGTCACTGCTGGCTGCTTGCTTCCCACGGCCCTTGGCCTTGGCTGGGCCGCTGCCTTGGCTGGCTGGCTATGGCCTTTGCTGGCTGGCCGCAGGTGCCTTGGCTGGCTGCCCACAGCTGCCTTGGCTTGCTGGCCGTGACAATGGCCGCCATGTACAGTTACAAGTAATATATGTACAGTTCCAAGTAATATATAACAACGTTCCAAGTAATATATAACAAGAATTGATCCATACACAATTACAAGTAATATATAACGGCAAGAATTTAGCAACGAGTTCATCTCATAAAACCATGTTTGTAGCATAAACAAGTTCATCTCAGAAGACCATAATGTAGTTCCAAACGAAATCAATGTCATATGAAATAAATCATGAGGTTACATCTCATCACAACTAAAATGCTCCATCATCAAATGTTTAGCTTTCTCCTTTTTGGAGTCATCTTTTTTGGTGGCACCGGGGTAGGCATCCTCACGAGGCTAGCGTTGTCAGTTTGTGAAGATGTGCCCTCTCCAAGTAACATCGCTAGCTTGCTGCACATAAATACGATCGGCAATTAGATGTATATATAAAACAATTATTGTGTACAGTAAATGTGTTAATATTCCTTACCTTCTAGTGACCCTTCCTGGACTATATCGTAGGATTTCATCCCTGGTTGGCCTCCGTGGGGTGCTAGGTTCCGCCGGTCCTTCTTTTGTGACATTCTTCCTAGGTTGCCTACGCTCCCTACAAGTGATGAAATAAATTAATATTGATATTTTCATTCAAGTTAGTTGATAAAGAAAATCATCAATTACCCCTTTTTTGCGGTCCCATTGTATGGGCATTTGGAACTAGCTTGCCTATGACCTTTTTCTCCGCATCGTTTGCAAGTCATAGGTCCTCTGATGATCTTCTGTCCCTTTGCATTTGTTGGAACAGTATCGTTATCACCTTCACCCTCATCCCATCTCTTCTCACCTTCACCCTCATTGGTAGATTTTCCTTTCTTCCTGTGTCCACCCTCATCCCATCCCTTGATTCTTAGTTTCCTCATTCTTCCAGCAGATAATTTAGCTAGAGGTGCACCAACGCCAAATGGTAGGTCAACATGTGGCCACTGTGTTTTATCTGTCATTGGCTCAATCTCTCTACCATAAGCAGCCCTAAATCTATTCACAGAGTAGTAGTCATGCACAAACTGTTCTAGATCCACTCCCCTTTAGCGGGTTGCATAGGCCAGTACATGTTGACATGGCTTACCAGTGTGCTGCCATTCAAGACAAGTACATGTTCTTTGGCCTAGCTTGACAATATGCCTCACAGAAACGGCTCTGCTATGGTCCCACACCTCTGCACTCCAGTTAGAACATGGTACAATTTTCAGGTGTCCCAAACCTCTAGTGTCTGCCCTTAGCTGAACCATAATTGCTGGGAGTATCATGCCTTCAGGTAGCCTGTATGCAATAATTCTTCTCTTGTTCCATAGTACTATGATCAATTCTCTGATCTTATCAGCAAGGTCAGCAACCGGTAAGTCCTTATGGTCTCTAATCCAATTATTAAATGTCTCAGCAATGTTACTAGTTATATAGCCACACTTAATTTCTAGATTGAAACCACACCTGTATCATAATAGCTTATGATTGGCCTATAACCATTGCACTGATGCAGCTGATTCACTTATCATTTTTGCTATATTGTCATAGAAAATCTCCTTTGTGTAAGCCCTTGCAGCAGGATATATCTGGCCAAACCCTCTAAATCTCTTCTTGAAGTTTCTGACCATATGATAAAAGCATTCCCTTTGCTCTGCATTGGGAAATACATTCTTCACTGCATTCTCCAAGCCCTTGCAAGCATCCGAACAAACAGCAAGGACTGGAAGATCACCTATAGCTTTCTTTAATTGTTCCATGAACCAAGTCCAGTTATCTGTTGTTTCCTGAGCTATGAAGCCATAAGCGACTGGATACATCCAATTGTGACCATCAACTGCTACTGCTGCAGCCAAATGACCATTCCACCTCCCATTAAGTGATGTAGCATCTACACTCAAATGAGGCCTACAACCTTCCAGGAATCCATCAATGCATGGTTTCAGAGCACGAAAAAACGGTGGAAATATACCTCACCATCTACCTCAAGAACATTGATCTCAATGACACTCCCAGGACTCCGCTTCATCACCTCGGCCTTCCACCTAAACAATAGCTCAAAGCTATCTGACCATTTCCCATAAATCTCTTCAAGAGCTCTTTTTTTACCCCGCTGTACAGTGTCATATCCAATTATACACCTATGTATTGGGTTTGTCTCCAACCTCGTTTTCAGTTCCTTGGTACCAATGTTTGGTTCAACTCTAAGGATATCCACAGCCCTGCTAGCTACCCACTTGCAACTTGGAGTTATAACCTGCATCCTCTCACTAGACACACATTCATGTTTATCAACTAACACGGTTACCTACAAAAACAAAAAAAATATTAAATTACATAACAAGATGAATGATTGAATTAAGTGATACAAAAAAATATTTTACCTCCACAGAAGCGCTGCCATCCAGTTTCGACCCATTTATCCTCCAAGGACAAGGGCCCGTCGATTCATCACCAGACTTGCAAAAACCCCTATATTTCTTCGTAGTTGACTTATCTACTCCTAAATGGAACTCTTTCTTGATGGCATATGTCCGCACTGCCAGCTTGAACTCTTCCATTGTTGGGTACTGTGTCCCAACCTCCATTGGTGGGTTGTTCTTATCATATGAAATGACGATCTCACCCGGTACGGCATCATTAGTAGGAATGGCAGCACCATCAACATCTTGACCAAGCTCATTATCATTGCCTTCTTCATCCATTCGGCGATCAGATGCTTGTGTGGGTATATTTGGTGTGCCCTCATCTCCCAATCCCAATAGCTCACACATCTGACTCTCGCTCATAAGTTCAATTCGACCTTCATCATCAACTGTCTCAACTATGTATGGTAGACCAATCAACTCTTTCTGTATTTTCGACATCATTTACTTGGGACCTACAAAAAAGCGAAAACTAGTTTACTATACTAGTAACATTGATACTAATAAATACATTGACATTTTATACTACAAACTTACTATATATATGATAGGATGATGATTGATGTTTTACACAACTGTACTAGTGGCTGCATGGTTGATATATGATCTGCCTTATGTTCTATATATGTTTTATGCCTTCTTAATTGATTAGTTACAATACTGAATAATAGTTATGAGCGATATATGATAGTTTACTGAACAAAAAAGCGATATATGATAGTTTACTAAACAAAAAAGCGATATATGTTCTTCTCAGCTAGGCTGCATGGTTACTGAACAATTGTTACAGCTAGGCTACATGGTCTAGTACTATATCATTTACTACATATGACAGTTTACTAAACTTTCCATGCCTCGAGCAAACGGAATGGATGAACAAGGCAAACTGAATGCACGATCAAACTGAAAGGATCCTTAATGGCAAAAAACAGAAATTGTTAGGGGCAATACCTCTGCACATCAAGCATCGGAAGATTGTACTCTGTTATCGGATGAGGAACAGTGGGCAGCAGAGCTCTTGCTACAGCTAGAGCATCGTCGCCAGGGTTCTCCATTGGAGGCTGTGGAAGGTCATCGGCTGCACCAGCCGCCGTGGCCTACCCTCCAGGAGCTGCGTCCGGCTGTGCACCAGGCGCCGTAGCGGCCAGGGCAGCAGGCCCCGAAGCACCTAGGGCTAGGGCAGCAGGCCCCGATGTTGCCTCGACGTCCATGGCAACCGCCCCAGCGTTGACATCTTCGGCTGGAGGCTCTTCCTCCATGGAGGGCAGATCGCCGGTGTGGGGGAGGGAGAGGGCCGGCGGTCTTCACGGCGAAGCGGCGGGCGCCGGTGTTCTCGCGCAGGAAGGAGGAGCGTCGGTGTTCTTGCGACTGCGCGTATACGGAGTAGATGAAACGACGGAATCCAGAATAGATGAATCGATACATTGCTAGCCAATTTCTCTTGCTGAAGGGTAATAGGGTCAATATGAAAAATACATGTATTTTTAGATGACAAAAGAGATTAAAAAAGAAACAAAATGTCATTAGAGCTTATTATAATTGTTTGGAGTCCTATTTTTGAGAAACAAACGTTAGGAGTCCTATTATAGAGAAACCCAACGTTTGGAGTCCTATAATAGCCAATTTCTCGGTAAACTGAGATCAGTTTAATTATTTGTATGTTCTGTTGGAAGATATGCCGTTTTCGATTTGCATTTTGCTATGTAGCCTGCATCAGGCCAGAATCTGCCGATATGTAAAAGCTGCCCAGCCTAATACTCTGTTTCTGTAGTTTATAATCAAAATCAGGCCTAGTCATTGACAGTTAGGGAAAATTCCCATATGCTCAGTCATTATAAGTCGCTTTGATTTTTTTCTTCATCTATTATCTATATGCATAGCAAAATAGATGTAAAAAAATATCAAAACGACTTATAATTTAGAATGGAGGGGTAGAAACGCATCTGGTCTCCTATGCGGGACGGG